ACAATATTATTTGGCTGCCCTGTAGTTCACTCGTTCATCAACATCTTTGGAGCATCTGCTTTACAACAGGAAGTACACTAGACACCAGGCAAATAGTCTTTGCCTGAGAGAAACTTCACAGGCTGGTGGGTTGATACAGGTAAGTTGTTCCACCGCAGTGTACAGAGTACCTAGTAACCAAGTCCAGTCTCCTTTTAGACCTTATCTTACTGAGCTCTCTTGCCTCATTTTCCTAAAGGACAATCACCTCTGTTAAGGAAATTTTCTCATTTTCTTTCTTCTGTGGCATTCCTCATACCTGGTTGGGTTTTTTTGTTGTTGTTTATTGTTTGTTTGTTTTTGCTTCTTTTAGAGTTCTTTTTGCATCTCTTTTCTTTCTGTTCTGGTCTTCTCATTTTAAATGTCTTTCCTGCTGCATACTAGATCTCTCCACTTTGACAGACATTCAGGATTGCACACTTCTTTCCTTAAGAAAGTGCAATTTACTTAGTCGCCCATATTAACTATTAAACATCCTGGAATCATCCACAATCCCTTGTCCTCCTTACAAAAAGACTTGGCCTTTCTACTTTAAAAATGGCATTACAGGGTACCTGGGTGGCTCAGTTGGTTAGGCATCTGCCTTCGGTTCAGGTCTTGGTCCTGGGGTCATGGGATCTAGCCCCACGTTAGGCTCCCTGCTCAGCAGGAAACCTGCTTCTCCCTCTCTCTCTGCTGCTCCTCCTACTTGTGCTCTCATGTGCTCCCTTTCTGTCAGATAAATAAAAAAATTTTTTAAAAATGGCATTACAATTTGGTCAAATTGCCAGCTCCTCTGTCCTTAGTTAACCTACAGCAATAACTTCCTTCTCCTTTCTTGTCTGAAGGGCATCTTTACATGCTTTAACTTTAGCAATTAATTTTTAAAAATTTCTCATGCTATTCTTACTTTACTCCTAGAATTTTTTAGGGTCTTTCCTGCTACCTGTTGGTCAGGTCTCACTTTCAAAGCTATTCACCATTTTCTCCTGATCGACTTTTCTGGTTTCTCTCCTATTTAGCTACAGTGCTTAGCCCATGGAAGGTACTCACTGAATACTGGATGGGTAAGTGGGTGGTGCATAAAAACCTGACCTTTCTCCCCCAAGGGCAGTATCAGAGTCCCATTATGTAAGTATGGTATCTGCTAAGTTCCCTTCTTGATAGTTTGTCATTTTTAATTTACAGTGGTGTAAAGATGAGTAATCTACGAGCTGTTTTTTTATTGTTGTTGTTGTTTTTAACCTGTTTCAGGGGTGCGTGGGTGGTTCAGTTGGTTAAGTATCCAACTCTTGATACCTACTCAATACGTGATCTCAGGGTCGTGAGATCGAGCCCCACCCAGGTCAGGCTCCCTGCCTCCAGGTGCATGCTTACACACTCTCTCTGTGTCAAATAAATAAATAAATCCTTATTTTAAAAAATCCTGTTTCATAAATTTAGTAACCCAGCGTACGTGCTCAATTGTATTCCCCCCAAATTCATATGTTGAAGTTCTGATCCCCAGTACCTCAGAATAAGACTGTTTTGGAGGTAGGGTTTTTAAAGAGGTTTCATTTTAAGTTAAAATGAAGTCATTGGATAGACCTCGATCCACTAGACTGCTGTCCTTCTAAGAAAGGGGAATTCGGACACAGACACATAGAAGAAAGACCATGTAAGGACTTAAGGAGAAGATGGCCATCGACAAGCCAAAGACTCCCAACCCCACGTTCGTTAAGGAAATATTTTCTACTGGTTAAGCCTCCTAGTCTGTGGTGGCTTATATTGTTGTGACAGCCTTAGCAAACTCATACACCCTGTGTCTTTTAATTCATTTAGGTTTTAAGTTTTGTGTCTAGGGACTTTATCCTTAAGAAAGGGATGGACCAAGGGTCCAATAAAATCTCTCCTCTAATCTCAGGTTTCTTGGAAGTATTTTAAATTTGTCCTGGGGCGAGAGGGCTGTCCTTGTCTTTTTCAGACCAGATAGCACTTATGATCAGCTACCTAAAGACTGGGTTTTTCCTTCCCATTTTGGGATTATGTATCTTATTTCAATTAAAGATACAAAGCAAGATTCCATTTAAAATATCATTAATCCCCATTTATTGCATTGATTTTAAACAGATAAGGAGTTTAATATTTTCTGGGCTCGCGTTTTGATAGCTCAAGTACAGTAAGTTCTCTCTGCGGTGCACAGTTGTGCCAACCTCAGCATCACATTTCCAGAGAAGATATTTGCTGCAGTGAATGTTACATGCTTTCCAGCAGTTCTTTTGAGATTCTGGCCTTGGGGGAAAGAAGTCTTCTGAATTGCTAAATCTGGTTTATTCAGGTTTATTATCACGAATATCTGGTATATTCTAGTCCTGTTTCGGGTTACCATATCGCCAACCTCAAAATGCCTGTCCCTCTCCATCTCCTCCGCCCCCATGTTCTAGCTAGCTCCTCAGCAGTGGTGGTACTGAAGCTAGGGAAATTAAATGTGTTGAGTGGGTTAGAGACTTTATTAGAAAAGACCATTTGTGTATGTTGATCATCTGCTCTGGTCCGCTCTGATTGCCTCAGATTAAATAATAATTTCAACCCCATTAAAGACCTTGAGAAGGGTCACCTTTATACCTGCCTGTAATGTCACCATTAACATCTCAGGTGGATCTGAGTCCATTTTATTTTATAAATCCAGAATGAGAGGCTATAATTCTTTTCTGAGAACTTGTAATTTATTTTCTATATCTGCTCTGAACTTCATGCTACGATCTTGAACTTGTTTCGTCTTGTTCTATCCATGGTAGAGGTGGAGGATCGCTAGTCACCATGTATAACTGCTCTTTTCCTTGAGACATGAGGCATTATTAAATTGCCTCTCTACCTTCCCTTTTCCAAACTGAGCTTTATTGGTTCTTTAGCCTTACAGGACTTATTTTGAATTTTTAATTATATACAAGATGTGTCATTAAAGCCTCTCCGTATTTTTCACAAGTCTCTTTGATGATGGATCCAGCACTAGTTGAATATCATCTGTACGATGAGAAGGCAGTCAGTTTCTACACTCAGTACATTTAGGCACTTTGGTTTCATGCTTAATTTTCATTTTTGACTTAACTAATTAAAATCCATGGCAGGGGGCGCCTGGGTGGCTCAGTGGGTTAAGCCGCTGCCTTGGGCTCAGGTCATGATCCCAGGTCCTGGGTTCTAGCCCCACGTCGGGCTTTCTGCTCAGCAGGGAGCCTGCTTCCTCCTCTCTCTCTGCCTGCTTCTCTGCCTACTTGTGATTTCTCTGTCAAATAAATAAATAAAAATCTTAAAAAAAAATAAAAAAATAAAATCCATGGCAGTTAAACAAAAGAAGATTGTATAATTCTTTTTTCCATGACAAAGGGTGATTGAAACATAAATTGCAGGTAATCTTTTGACTTCATATGTATTGATACTCAGATTCGGAGACGTAAGAGTATATCCCATTGACTGGAACCAAAAGCAAGAATTTTCTGTGTCTGTCTTACAGTCTTAATGTTGCCTCCAACAAACTGGATTATAGTAAACATGCCATTTAATTCTTACTACATAATTGTATGTATTTATGAGACTGAGGAAGATAGAGATCAAGGTTGGATGACCTCTAAGTGGTCTTTCAGCTGAGAAATTGCATTGTGTACTCTCCTAATGATGGTCAGGTGATCAGTTGTGGGGTTTTAGTGGGTAAGTACATTTGGAGCATGTAAGATTAATTCACTTGAAATATATCGAGTATATACATCGAATACTACCTACTACATGCCAGGCAGTGATAAATCACATGTTTTTCAAAGAGTGCATTTTATTAGGGGAAAGGAACATGTTAAAATAAATGCAGTTGTCTATTACGGGGGTTGTGCTAGAAGTCCAAGGCGTGTTGGGACGTGAGGGAAATTTGGGTGAATTTTGCTTGGTGGCAGGAGCATCAGGGAAAGGCCAGTGATTCAAGGGGCCAAATATGAAGGCCTGAGGAAGAGCAGCAATCAGACTGAAGTGGTGTGGGGGTGGGGAGGCAGTAGCCTGATAGCAGCTGGAGGTTGAGTAAATGGGAACAGTGGATACAGGTGATTTTTTTCCAAGGAGCTGGACTATAAAGACAAAAGAACTGAGGGGAATGGGCAGGGATTAGAGGAAGTTGGTTGTTGTTAAATTTGGGAGTAAAGAGCTAACTTAGAGGTTTTGGGGGGAAAAGCTTCTAGAGGGGAAAGTTCTGACAGATGAAGAAGATGGAATTAAGAATGAACTTAAAAGCAGGATTGAGGATAGAAAGAAAAACAGAGATGGAACCGATAATGGTGATAAAGAAAACATAGCAAAGTGTTCTTTGTGGCATCTAGGAAGGAGGTAGGTGAATGGCAAAGTGCAATTCTTTCAACTTTGCCACGTGTTGGAAAGTTTTATAAAAAAAAATATTGGGAGGAACAAAAGGAATGTAGATTGAGAGTTTAGCTTTGAACAGAACAGGGGAGACACTTACTCCTAGTTGTGTCAGCAGATGGTGAAATTGAAGGTTAAAGCTTCAACTTCTTCATGACGTCTGAGCCACTCTCCCCCACTGGGGCAGAGAGTGGGAGCAGAGGAGCATTGAGGAGAATGAAGGCTGGAATCAGTGCTGGGGAGTAGGAAGAGGGACTGAGCAGACCTGGCAAAAAGGCGGAAGCCATGAGGCTCAAGTTCCGGTGAAGTTGGAGGGCACAGAGTTGCACTGGTGTGAGATTTTTCCCTAGTAGTCGTCAGAAGACCGCAAGTTAGTAGGGCACCGGGCGAGGGTATAATAAGGAAATGGTGAGTGGACGGGATGAATGGCTCCCCCAGCTGTTTACCATCAGCCTGTTCTGGAATAAGTCTCAGCCTCGCTAGTTCAGTTGTGATTCTGTTTTCTACCTCATTGTATTTTTATTTGAGTGAAATGAGATAAAAATAATGTTACAAAATGGTATCATGGGAACATTTAACTGAGATAATTGTATTGTCTTCCTTAGGTAAAAGAAGAACGTCCGGAAAAAATACCAGATCTTAAATTATTAGTGGAGAAGAAATTTTTGGCTTTACAGAATAAGAATTGTGATGCAGACTTTCAAAATAATGCAAAATTTGTACAGTTTAAACAGCAGCTGAAAGAACTAAAGAAGCAATGTAAGTCTGCATGCTTTGCTGTTTGGTTTGGCTTTTTGAAATTAGGGAAATGACCTGATAAACGGCCCCAGAAGACTGATTTTATAAAGTTTGCCTATCTGCTTGGCTTGATTCTGTTTCTGAATTGCTTTTTATTGTTGTTGCAATTCTGTATTTTGTCTAACTTTTGGTTCAAATCAGCCTGTCCATTTCTGAAAGCCAACAGTTTCCACAAAGTGCTAAGAAAATTCCCCAGCAGCTCCACAAAGTGACACTGTGTTGTCCCGCTGCTGGGGAGGGGAATTGGGACATTAAAACGGAACTATTTTATTAAAATAGCAATGGTGTATTTCAGATTTTAAACTGCTGTGCCATGCTTTTAAAAGAACCACTTTGAATTTTAGTTTTGCTGCTTTGGAGTAGTAGTGGCAGTGTTTTCTCAAACTAGGTTTTTTCTTCTCAAATACGGACTGGGATCCTCTCGATCCCTTCTGTCTTTTGTGATAGCATAAATTCCATGAGACTGTGATTGTGAGTCCAACATAATTTTGATTTAAAAATGAGATTGGGAAAAATGACCCATTATACAAAAAAATTTGTGGACGGTATCTGACAGAAGTAGATCTTTTCTACACAGTGAGGTACATCCATCCTTTCTTTTCCTCCTCTTTCTGGATAATCCACATAACAGCTTTATGTAATTTTGGTCGTTTTTACATTAGCACAGGTAGTCATTCTTCTAGGCTCCCAAGTCTTATTCCTTAAAGAATTGGATTGTGAAGCAAATAACTTGTTTGTAAACTTCAGTTTCCCATCGTCTTCATTCACATACACGTGGAGGAGCACTGTCGTAGGAGATATGAATTTCCTTCTTGTCCTTATTTGTACTTAGTGGAAGGATTCACATTTTGAAATAAGCTTTCCTTTAAATATAAGCATTTTCCTTAAATTGATGCTGAGGTCTCAAAAAATGACTGAGGAAGCAGCTCTACTTTTGTCTATTTTACAAGTAACTTAAGTTTCACAATTTGGAATGTTTTGCAATCATGATGAGACTTTTGCTTTTACGTGGATTTAACAGTAAGCATTTTCTCCACGTTTTCGTCTGTTTTTTTTTTTGTTGTTGTTGTTCTTTGACCATCACAGCTACCAAAATCCTTCTAATATAAATTGCATGATCCCCTCACTTGGGTAATAATCCCCCAAACAGGTAATGTTATAATTTACTAGTGTCTTCCTGATCTTAAAGGTGCGAGTGAATTTCAGTTTTGGTGTGGGTCGGAACAGCTAAATGTATTTCGTTTTTCTGCTTGGAGCCGATATGACAAATTATGGCAGCTTTAGCATACAATTGTAATTCTTGATTTTTTTAAGATATTTGATAATACAGATTGAAGGATAAATATCTAAAAATATGAATTTCTTCTGCCTTTGTTATTGTTTATGAAGTTATTATTCCATAAGAGAAAGCTGAAAAGACTTTTAGAATTATATACTCACGAGGGAATACTTTCTTATGAAAGATACGTAATTCAACAAAATGACAAATATAGGAATCATGGTTGTTATTATTTCTTAAATTCTCTCTAAAATGGTCAGGGGTGGAGGGGTGGAGGTGCTTTCCCCAGGCCGGCAGTACTGTGCATCATTTGGATAGACAGTTAAACTTTATGACAAAGTAAATTTATACCGAAAGAAATGCTTCCTTATGTAGGATTTCCCTATATATGGTAACACTGGAATTAAGATGATTTTCCCTTTTTGTTTTTCCTAAAATACTCTCTTAAGTTTTTAAATCCCAAATGACAGGACAATCACAATATTAATACCCTCCTTAAATGCTCTATAAGGCACATATACTTTACTTGCAAAAATGCAAGTAAAGTGCATTACTAGTACCGTCAAACTAGCACCATGTCTAATGGATTTTATTGCTTTAGATGGGATGCTGCTGTGAGGATGCTGATTGTTATCAGGAGCCCACAGTTTTTGTGCGGCACGTTGGAGGGACTAGGATTTATACAGGAGCCAGTGAATGTTTGTTTTGAGATATATTCCAAAGGCGAGGAATTCATATTTATTTTATTTTAATTTATTTATTTATATTTTTTTAAAGATTGGAAACTACAAGCCAGGGAGAGATTATTGTGCTCGCTTCGTTTTGAGATCTATTCCAAAGGCGAGGAATTCATATTTATTTTATTTTAATTAATTAATTTTTTTTAAAGATTGGAAACTACAAGCCAGGGAGAGATTCTTGCTTCTAGTTGCCTATTTTGGCAAAGTAAAGGTTGACTCAGTTTTGGCGACTCCACAAATCTGAAGGGTTCTTTCATGAAAGGCATCACCAGGCTCTCCCCAACTTTATTTACACAAACATAAATTGCATGGGATTAAATTTTGCCGAATCAGGATCCAATCACAGACACTCGATGAAGCTCCTTGGTTGGGCGGGGGGGGGGGGGGGGGGGGGGGGGGGGGGGGGGGGGGGGGGGAGGCAAGATAGAGACTGAAATCAGGTGGTGTGAGGAAGGGGCCTGTGAGCTGGCTGGGCTCACCCCGCCATAGGAGTTAAGTTAACTCAGCTGTGGCGGGCAGCTGGCTCTCTTGAACTCTCGGGTCTCAGGATCGCTTTACATTTTTAAAAATTTACCGAGGGCCTCCAGGGAGCTTTTGTTTACGTGGGTTGTAGCTCTTGACACTTATCACATTAGAAATCAAAACTGAGAAGTTTCAAAAATACTATTAATCCGTTTAAAAAGTCAGTAGTAAACCCCATACGTGTTACCATAAAGAGGATTATGAAATACAACTATGTATTTTCCAAACATAAGGACAAATTAGGGAGAAGTGTGACATTGTTTTCCATTTTTGCAAATCCCTTCAATTTCTGGCTTAATAAAAGGCAGCTGGATCCTCATATTTGCTTCTGCACTCGGTCTGTTGTGGCGCATTGTTTTGCTTAAAGTCTACAGAGAAATTCTGGCCGCACACATGCGTAGTTGGACTTGCTGAAAGGATCTTGCAGACCACCCGAAGTTCTCATTTTGAGAACCACAAATTTAGGCCAGAGATCAGTAAACTACAGCCTGTGGGCCAAGTGCAGCCTGCCTCCTGTTTCTCTGTGGCCTAAAAGCCAAGAATGGTGTTTTTCCATTTTTAAGTTGTCTGGAGAAAAGTTAAGAGAAGGATAATATTTTGTGATGTGTGAAAATTCCATAAAATTCAGATTTCAAAATAAAGTTTTATTGGAATGGAGACACTCATTGGTTTCCACATTTCTGTGTGTGCTTTATGCTGTCATGGCCGAGTTGAGTCATTATATGAGAGACCATCTGGCAAACAAAGCTTTTAATATTTGCTGCCTGGCTCTTTACAGAAAAAAGTTTACTGACCTTTGGTGTAAACCATAATCAGAAACAAGGACATTTTGTCGGGGGGGGGGGTGGTTTGTTTTTTTTTTAAACTTTAGATTTTTCCATAAATACTATATATCTGTCTTAGGTACATTCAGAACACTCTGAGTTGACTCCTGTCTGTGAATCATTGCGTTTGGTGCTCTAAGATCAATAAAAGGCAGAGTCCCTGTACTTGGAAAAGACTATATATACGTAGATGAAATACTGTGAGAACCATTAATAACAACAAATCAAAACCAAAGAAAAATGCAGGAAACAGCTGTTGTACAACATAGGAGAGAGTCAGAATGGGAAAATGCAGCCTTTATTTGTCCCTAACATCGCCAATCAATTGCTAGGGGCCGTGTGGAGCTGTATGTTCAGAAAGAGTCAGAGGCTGGATTCAGGCCCAGCAGGAAAGAGTGTGTGGAAGGATTATGGTGGGAAAGAGGAGGGATACTACAAATATTTGGTATTTGCTGTCCCTAGAATATAACGTAACAGGCCCGCTGTACTCATTTAAAGATAGGATTACTCAAAAGGTAACATACTTAAGTTGCACACAGTAATTTTTTTAGTAGTTATTTATGTCTTTGGATACTACCAGGCATTAGATACAACTTCTTGGAATAGTTTACTGACCCCGGTCTAAACCACAGTCAGAACGAGGGCAGGTTTTTGGTTTGGGTTGTTTGTTTGTTTGCTTGTTTAACTTTGGATTTTTCTATAAATACCGTATCTGGGGACCCATTGTGCTGTATATTAGAGATATTATGTGTGTTCCAGCTTCGTAAAATTATTACCAAGATCAAATGGAACAGTGGATCTTCAGAAACTCTGAAAGCTTGTTTTAGATTCCCATTGTTACTGAGAAAGGGCCTGTAGAGCTTAGCGGAAAGAATATGAGCTTAGCAGCCAGGAGACCTGGGTTTGAGTCACTGAATGTGTAGCCTGGTTTGCCCTCCAGTGCCCATTTTTCTTGTTCAGAGGCATACAAATCAAGATTCTCGGAGGCATACAAATCAAGATTGATTGAAGGTAATTTTTACACTTGGTGGTGGTGATGATAACTGAGTTAGGGAACAGTTCCAAAAAAAAAGGATTCCATTTCCCTAAATGGGAATCATGCTCTTGACGAACCCAAGTTGTGAAACCAACAGTGTGATTGGTTCAAGGCAGACATAATAACCCTACTTTCTTGGGTAAAGTGATTTTAATTTATCTGAACAATATGGTCAGGTAATTTCTCTCTTCCTGGACTGTTTAACTGTCTTCACTATTCCAGCCTACGGTTTCCTGCACTTTAGCATCAGGAAAACTTAATCAGAATGTACAACTAGCCCTGTATGGACGCTTGCTCAAGTCATCAAGCAACCTTTCTGCTGTCCTTTATTCATTCACCTATTATGTAATTAGCAGCATGAGAAGTTTTAGTGCAGGTCAGCAAGGCAGAAATTGAGGACATTAGACAATAATTGGGTGACATTTAGAAACCTTTGAAATATAAGGGCTTCACTTCATGATCAAAAATAAAATTGATTGAATCTGTGATCTTTAGTATTAAAATAATCTAATATCAAATGTAATTCTTTTGATACATTTAAATGCTTAAAGGTGCACATT